CACACACACACACACACACACACACACACACACACACACACACACACACACGTATATGATATAGTGTTGAGGAATGTACACAGCTGTTCCCCACTAAACGTTCTGTTCCCACCATTGAGAAACTTCCAGGTGTAGTCACCTGATCGTGCAGTTCCTCATTCTTAAATGTGTTATCATGGCTGGGCTTTAATCTTGTAAATAAATGTACTAGATCCATCCCCCGATATTTAATTCTTTTGATTATCCTCCGATGGTTACATCTTTTATGAATATATTGTCCATCGATATTTAAATATATTAAATGAATGTAACATCCACCGTTGTTTACATTTTTTTAAATTAAGGTATTATCCACGGATATTTAATTCTTTTGATTATCCACGGATGATTAATTCTTACGAAATGAAGTTGCCAACCACGGTTTGTGAACACACGTAGCTGTGAACATCTGAGCCTAGAAAGGGTTAATAAGAAACATCACGAGCCAGAAATCTGACACACAACAAATCACAGCGCTAGATCTTACAGTGGGCCGGAGGGGAGGGGGGGGGGGGGGGGGAGGATGTGTGTATCTTTATAACAATTTCCTTTACGTCACCCCTCTTACGATAGTATTTTAAGTTGTTAAAAAATCCAGTTTTATGGGGGGGGGGGGGGGTAAAAAAAACATTACAATTTTTTTAAATGTTAGAAATACATTTGTACATTTACCTGACTGCTGATCACGTCTTTGCAAGCCATTCGTATACGAGCGGGAGTAGCTGGACTGAAGAGCTGAAACTTTGGGTCAGCAGAGTTGTCTCTCCTGGCTGCCCTGATGGCGTCCTTGACAGCGAGAAACACGGACATGGCGAGAAGTAGAGGGGGCTCGTTCAGACCCTGAAAAAGTAAACGGCGTTCCTGAAATATTAGAATTCGTCCGGCTTCTGACCCCTACCTTTCTACCAACTTGAGAATCGTGTTTCTATGACTTTCCGTTTTTACTGGGTCGGGAAGTTGCATAGCCCTCAGCAAACTGGTACTTTTTGGGGCGACCAGACCTATGCACCTGCATAACAAGGAAAGTGTTAGATTGGAACCCACATGGTAAAAGATCAAGGGGAAGACCACGTGGAACCTGGAGAAGAGTCACTGAAAAGGATGTGCAATGTACAGAAAAGTTGAAAGACATGGAGTGACATCAAGCGACTTGCCCAGGATAGGGGAAGGTGGAAAGTGTTTGTCCGTGGCCTATATCATCCTGGTCCAGGGTGAGAAAGCCAATAATGATGATGACTTGGGAATTGAAGTCGTGTCTTTTGCGTGCAACAGCGAAGCGCTTTTTATCCGTTACACCACAGACGCCAGTTGAGAGATAAGAGACGGCGAGGTTTTGTTGTTGTTGTTTTTTGTGTTTTTTGGGGGGTGGGTTGTTTTTGTTTTGTTTTGTTTTTTTGGGGGGGGTGGGGGGGTGTTTGTTTTATTGAAAACCTCTTCACTGCTGTGCCGAGGCACATACATGTATGTACTTGGGTGTGCTCTAAAACTTGTTCACTGGCATTTTGTTCTGCTGGTTTGTACAATACGTTTTAGGACATATAGTATATATATATATATATATATATATATATATATACTATATGTCCTAAAACTGAGTTGTTTAGATCTAGACCCATCAAAACAGGAGGCTTCGTGGCCAATCACAAAAGTCTACGGGGCTTATCGAGGCCGATTCGCCCTGCCACGAGTACGTTCACTAAACTGCCTACTGGATAGAATCTACTACCAAATATTCTCTACACGATCTTTGCTACTACTACTACTAGGCCTACTAGCCTACATGTACTACTACGAGACAGTACGAAAGAGTGTCACTCAGGCAAAGATAGTGTAACTTTGACTCAGCCACGTAGTGTACACTCTTTTTATACCCCAAATTTAACCCGGAAGTCCATTCGGAGGATTTGACCTTTTCACTGGACCAAAGTGTGCCAAAATGGTAGCCTAGCTTTTGCCCCTCCATGAAGGAAAAATCTGGCCCTCATTCAAACCATTGGGATTGAGCAAAATTTTGCGTATTGTGCTTTGTTCTTTACAATATTCATTATGGTTATGATTTATAAGTTGTACACTGAGACAAAACCGTACTAAATGAGAAAGGTGCACCATTATGAAAGTGGAACGAACTCAGTTGCCTGAAAAAGGTAGTTTGAGCATGTGTGGCCTAAATAAGCTAAACCCCCCTCCCTTACCTTATTTAGGCCACAGTCCACTGTGGCCTAAATAAGCTAAACCCCCCTCCCTTACCTTATTTAGGCCATATGTGGCCTAAATAAGCACTCCCTATATATATAGCCACAGTTTGTACAGTTTCTTACTCATAAAAAGGGGAAAGATATAAAGGCTGCGTGCAGCTCCCTTGAAAGGACATTTTATTTTGATAGTAGACTACAAACATGGAGCGTCAAGGAGTCAAATGGTTTGGACATCTAACCAGAATGCCCCAGAAACAACTAGTGGCTAGAGTTTACAACACCCGAGAATCTGACTCCAAATCAAGAGGAAGACCAAGAAAGACCTGGCTGGGTGGGGTTAAAAAGGTCCTGGAACACCATAACATATCTAATCTATCACAGAAGCTACACACCTAGCACAGGACCGAAACCTACACCTCCCTCGACATCCTAAGGATACAAAAGGAAGGAAAAAGTAAAGTAAAATAAAACATGGAAACATCTCATCAGTAAAGGAGTTAAGTTCTTCATTTTATTGCTCAATAACATACCCTTGAAGCAAACACATTGTTCGGGTTGAGGCTGTGTGGAACAATGTGGACGTTGAACTGTCCTGGGATGTCGCCGAAGGCGGGGATCTTGTAGTTCCCGGGTCCCTTGGTCAGGTGGACGCCGTCAGGGGTCACTTTGATCTCTTCCAACATGTACATTCCATAGCCCTGAGTGCGGGGAACACAACATTCAGAATAATAATGATAATAATAATAATAATAATAATAATAATAATAATAACTATTATTATTATAATGATGATGATAATAATAGTAATAATAATAGTAATAATAATAATAATATGACAATTACAATTATAATAACAATAATAATAACAATAATAATAATAATAATAATAATAATGTGACAATTATAATAATCTGATAATAATGATACTCATCATCATCATCATCATCATCATTATCATCATCATCATCGTAATAATGATAATAATGATAATGTATGATTACGATGATGATGATTTTTTATGTAAATATCCACCGTTCGAGAGCAGTTTGCGGGCAACGGAGAGGATGACCTGGGTTCGAATCCCCAGTGGGGCGGGGTGTTCTGGTCTTTGTTTGTCTTTGGAGAGTTTATAAGTCTCTCCATCAATGTGACTTGTTCCTTTCGGAGGTGGACGTTAAATCTGGAGACCCCGCCTCATTATACTAGATAATCTCACGGTATTGAATGGGGCATCAGTGACTACGAGTACATAATGACAGATGCTCTTGCCAAAGGCCACTGTGCATGCAGCGGGTATTTTTAGCTGAGGTTTTTGTGTCTTGTTCTCCAAAACGCTTTCTCACCGACACAATAAACTATAGTGCAGTAAAGTATTCGTGGCGCAACTGATTGTCAAATATTTCCTCAACTATCGACATAGATTCTTCGGGTTTTGCACAATGCCTTGTATCCATGTGCAAATTATGAGTGACAGTGATTCACCTGTTAAAGAGATATCTGACCATAAGTTGCGCCTCGAATTTTTGACAGCACTATAGAGATTTATTGTGAGCATGAGCTTTGGGATTCTTAGATCAGGTGTTTTTTATTATAGTATGTTTATGGCCAGCCCAACGAAGTTGAAATTCTGTTATCTAAATGTAAGTGTTTTTCCGAGCCCAACGAAACAATTCAGATCATTTAGGGGGTGGACTTCCGACATTGCCTGCCAGAGTCAACCTGGGCTGAGAGCGATACACCATCCTAGCAGAAAGATCGAGATACTCAATAGAAATCCTCCCGATTCGGGAATCGAACTCGGGTCTCCTGGGTACGACAGCAAAGCGTCTAATCGCCACACGACAGGCACAGGTAAACAACTTGAGTCTTTTTGAATTCAAAAGTATAATTTTTTAATGAGTTTAATTTTGTTTTCCATCGGATCCAAAGAAGCAGATATATATGCGTCACAATGTAGTGGAATCAGGCGCTTGTCAGTTTTTAGCAAGTGGAGCTATTGGTGTCATCTTAAAACTTGTTCATTATTTATCTATCTTTTAGATAAAATAAAAATGTCTATCTTTAATAGAAGTCGAAATATTTGCGATTGAACGAGGTTAAAGAAGAACCCGAAAAATGGTCGCCTAATCGTGGCACAGTACCTTCCAATGCTTGAGAGTCCTTGGGAACTGAAAATTTAATCTTTTTTTAATGCCTTTGATCAACGTTTTTCAGTCACATACAAACAGAAATGTGTTTTTAAATTAACATGAACGCTGTTGAGCTAAAAATAAATAAGTAAATAAATAAATAAATAAATAAATAAATAAATATTCAATTAAAAATTACCAAACAGATTACATTATTTTGACGAGCGCCTGATTTCACCACGATGCCTCACATAATACAGAGAAGGAGACGTCCCACCTGTACAAAAGCTCCTTCTATCTGCCCCACGTCTATGGCAGGGTTAATG